AACATCACAAACTCTCTACACTGTTTTCATTTGACTCTTGGGATCAAGACCCAAATTTTGACTCCCTATATCCGAGGATCGGTGTGAGGCCCACTTCAATGGAAGTTAAGGCTTTCGATTCCTTCAAATTTCAAATTCTCCAAAGATCAGTGTGAGGTACCCTTTAATGGAGGTTACAGCTTCCGATTCCTTCAAATTTCATCGCTTCCGATTCCTTCAAATTTCAAATTCTCCAAGGATCGGTGTGAGGCCCCCTTCAATGGATGTTAAGGCTTCCGATTCTTTTAAATTTCAAATTCTCCGAAGATCGGTGTGAGACCCAATTCAATGGATGTTAAGGCTTCAGATTCCTTCAAATTCTAAATTCTCTAAAGATTGGTGTGAGGCCCCCTTCAATGGATGTTAAGGTTTCCGATTCGTTCAAATTTCAAATTCTTCGAAGATCGGTGTGAGCCCCCCTTCAATGGATATTAAGGTTTCCGATTCCTCCAAATTTCAAATTCTCCAAAGATCGGTGTGAGGCCCCCTTCAATGGATGTTAAGGCTTCTGATTCCTTCAAAATTCAAATTCTCGAAAGATTGGTGTGAGGCCCCTTTCAATAGATGTCAAGGCTTCCAATTTCTTCACATATTCTATTCACATATTCCCCTTAAATTCACATCTGTGAATCTACATATTTTCTGCATAAGCACACATATTTTTTCATTACCTCTTGAGTTGGATGTGAGTCCTAGTGCTTTCCTTCTCAATGTAACAAACATATTTTTCTTGTCACTGCTTGGTTTGGATGTGAGTCCTAGTGCTTTCCTTCATAACATGACACACATATTTTATCGTTACCTCTTGAGTTGGATGTGAGTCCTCGTGCTTTCCTGAGTTGGATGTGAGTCCTCGTGCTTTCCTTCTCATTGTAACACATATATTTCCTTGTCACCGCTTGAGTTGGATGTGAGTCCTAGTGCTTTCCTTCCTAACGTGACACCCATATTTTCTCGTTATCTCTTAAATGGGATGTGAGTCCTAGTACTTTCCTTCTCAATATAACACACATATTTTCCTTGTCATTTCTTGGGATGGATGTGAGTCCTGGTGCTTTCCTTCCTAAAATGACGTACATATTTTCTTATTACCTCTTGGGTTGGATGTGAGTCCTAGTACTTTCCTTCTCAATGTAGCACATATATTCTCTTGTCACTGCGTGGGTTGGATGTGAGTCCTAATGCTTTCCTTCCTAACGTGACACATATTTTTTTGTTACCTCTTCGGTTGGATGTGAGTCCTAGTGCTTTCTTTTTGAATGTAGCACATATATTCTCTTGTCTCCTCTTGGGTTTGATGGAGTCCTAGTGCTTTCTTTTCTAAAGCGACACACATTTTTATCTTGTTACCTCTTGGGTTGGATGTGAGTCCTAGTGCTTTCCTTCTCATTGTAGCACATATATTCTCTTGTCACTGACCGCGACTTTATATATGCTTAAAAATATAAGTTTTTAATACTTCTGCTAAAGGATTTACTTCCTCAGTAACTGTACCAAATCTTTAATAACAATTATAGATTTGATAAATATGGACGAAATAATAATTCAATAATTATAAAGTCACACTTATCAACACTAGTATACGTATCGCTCTAGTAATATAGGGCACTAATGGAGTCCTAGATATCGATCTCACAGGGAGTAAGTTTAGAACTACAAACTAAGATTTTAGAAAAAACAATACTTTAATCACAACAACAAATTCAAATTGCTTATCTGCCACAAATAAGAAATTGAAATAAATATGTAATTTTAATAACTATTAAATAACTAATGATACTAATGAAGGTTAAAATGTGATATTCAATATATATGAAAGCATCCTTCTCCTTGTCAAGAAATTATAGAAAATGGATATAATGAATTAGTTCAATTTATATTGTGTCAAATAGGAGCATACCTATTTTTTACCCTTTGGTCCCGGCATAAAGAACATTGACTAATCTTATGCTTGTTTACTGAATCTGCGGCTAAGATGGG